TAAATGTATTAAATGATATTTTAAATAAATAAATAAATTTTTATTTTTAATTTTAATTAATCATAAGTTATATAAGTGTACTTATTATATTAGTATAATATATGTTATAATTATTTTTTTGAAAATAAAGATACAATAAAAATAAATGTATTAAATGATATTTTAAATAAATAAATAAATTATTAAATTTAAACACTTTAAATTAAAAAATAAAATAATAAAATTGAACAGAAATAGTAATTAATGAAAATAGTAGTATCATAAATAGTTTTTATTAATTATCTAAATAATTTAGTAATAATCTCTTTTTAATAAAAATAAAAAATTATGAATTGAAGTTATACCATATACAAATAAAATATGTTAATAGATAAAAAGATTACTTTTTATTATATAATTTAAGATAAAAATAAATAAATAAATAGTTTTTAAACCACGCAAATGTGTCAGGAGATGTGATCATGTGAGGTTTTTGGGTCTTGGGTTTTTTAAGTTTGATTATTTCAAGTTTTGGGTTAGAGGAGTGGACCCATGCGTCCGTGATCTATCCAAACGGGACTGGTAAAATTATTTGAATTTTTTTTAAAATTATCAAATCTAAGTTACCTATTTCCCTTACCAAGATTACCGTCAAACAAGAATGTCTTTAATTGTAAGTTTTTGTAAACTTTTGTCCTTAATTATTAGAAATTGAAAAGTTTAGGCAGTTAAATTACTTCAGTGATTGGAGCTGCTAGTTTCATTCTAAATTAATCAATCAGATGTGATACCAACTAGGGGTTGAATAGTAATTTCCACTCTAAAGCGAAAGAAGAGATTTCATATTTCAATTGTGTGGCAAATGAGTGCAGTAATTTAAAAAATAAAAGAAAATTACTTCTAATTATATAAGTTAAAATAAAAAATATGTATATTTATTTATTAAATTCAAGTTACTTTGTAAGTAGAATAGTTTGGTGAGATGTACACTCACAGAATGAGTTCCATATAGATTTGTTTATGGACATACAGAAACATAAATTCATACTAAAATTTACTTTGCTTGTTATTTATGTGAAACTTGAAATATTTGTAATTTTGTTGAGGGTGAATGAATCCCTAACTTAAATATTCAGTGCTAGCAAGCATTGATGGAACTGATTCTGCACCCTTGGGGCAAAAATGCTACTTTTCTAGATTAAGTTCAAAGTATGGTTGGTATATGTTACAGTAGTTTACCTAAATTAATTTACTGAAATACTTACTGAGCTTTGCACTGTTACAGGCAAAAGCAACTAGAGGCAGCATCCATATTTTAGGAGCCTGGGAAGCATCTACTAGTCCAAGTGAAATCCTAGAGCTAACCTTGGTTAGACAAATCTAAACTCCTCCCAAAACCTAGTCCTAGCTCACTGATTTTGTGTCATGTACTTGTGATGTATAGGACATCAATGATTTTTGTAAAAGCTTACGGCTGCCGTAAAGGAACATTTTGGCAACTTATGAGCTTCAAAGACTCTTGAACTTGTGTATAATGTAGTGTCCTGAACTTAGAGATTGTCAAAGCTAAACGCCTTTGCTTTTACTTGAGTTATTAGTTCTAATATTTAAACTGTAGAGCTATTGAGATTTTTAGCTCGCTGGTTCTTGAACTACAGCACTTATCCTCGCAAACTTTTAACTTGAAGTGTTCATTAATTTCATATTCTTTCTGAGAACAAGTTTAGGTGTAAATTTATTTCAAAACAGTGTGAGATGTCAGCAACCTTAAGCAAAATCTGAAGTATTTTGCTAAATTGAAATTTAGCTATTAGCTACTTTCAAACCTATTTTCAAGAACTTCTAATTTACGTTCAAACCTATTTTCAGGCTAAAATTCAAATGTGACATCTAGAGAGCTATATATTGGCTCCAAATAATGAACGGTAGGAGTACTTATTTACTACAGTGTGTATATATATATATAAACATTAGTATGCTACTAACAATTCAAGTAGTCTAATGATAAACTATGTAAATAAAAGGTTTCAAATTTGAATTACATAACATGTGAGAGAAAAGAGTTAAGGAATAGGAGAGACCTAGAGGATTTTTTTTTCTTATGTAACTTAAATTTTTTTAAAAAAAAGTAGCTAAACTTGCTTATGAAAATAAAATGAAAAAGTATAAATAGGGAGTTTCATTAACATAAAGTCATCCAACATTTACAAAATTAAACGAGACCTTATCTCCTAAATTAAGGACTTGTGAATTGTGATGATAAAAAAAATATAAATTAAGCACTTATATTATATGATTAGAAGCATAAAACTTAGCACAACCAGAGATACTTTCAAGAAATAGTTGACTATCTCAGTTAATGCATGGTGAGAGTTAATGATGAGATAGCCGTAAGTGCTAAGTTGGAAGAACTAAGTTGGTCTAAAAAATTAAAATTTGAAAATATTTTTACTACTTTTTAAAGTTTAAGTATAGATTTAGTTTAAAAATAAAAGTTGATGGACCAAATCAGATATTTAACCTTAGCACTAAGCTATTGTAAGATTTTAAATTTAAATATTTAATAAGTTAGAAAGGGATTTGAAAAAAGAAAAAATGTCAATACATAGTACCTGATTAAACAAAAAAAAAAAGAGAATGCAGTGTAGGAAGAATTAAGGTAAAGTCTTACATACCTAGTTGAGAAATGAGATATATAGTTTCTTCAAAAGTCAGATAACAAATTCCACTGATTGCTTTGGAATAACAAATGTAAATCTATACTCTTTGGAGCAGAGTATGGATTTCACCAAGATGATGCATTACCTGGAGAAGAATGCAAGCTCATATCATAAGTTGTACACTTATAACCAACACTACAAAATCATCCAAAAAAAACAAAAAAGAAGAAGAAGAAGAAGAAGAAGAAGAAGGTAGACAGGGAGATGGAAGTAAATACCTATAAAGTTTGTAACTAAGCATCTGTCATTGATTACTTCCTCTCGATCTGATCTTGAGATGTTCTCTAAATACGCAGTAGATCATGTAGATCTGCTTTAATTAGAATGATTTTATACATCAAGACCAAAAGGAAAATGAAAATTAATTAAAGAAAGGCACAGTAAAATTAAGGAAAAACAATTATAATGTCGTTGACGTGAAGTCAACCCTCCATCTAAACATTTGAAGATGAGTGCAATGTCTCAAAATTTGGAGAGTTCATGGATATATATTTTTCCAAAACAAATAAATAAATTTAATTTGTGTGGAACAGCGATATTCATGATCAAATTTATCTTCGCCAGCCAGTTTTTTTTTTTTTATTATTGGTTTAGTAGGTCCATATATGCTTTTCCACATAAAAGATCACTAATTTTTGGTTTGCCTCTTATAAATATTCACTTAAGAAAAGACGAAAATAATGAAGATAAAATTAAAAAGATATATATATTCCTAAATTAAGTGAAAAAAATTTAATAAAATAAAAAATAAAATATTTATAACCTTAATAATATTCCTGAACGTTATTATCAGGTCAACTTTTCTAAAAAAAAAAAATCACTAATTTTTATTTTCAAAGATGAGAACTTAAGGGTTCGCACGTACATAATTTTTGGTTTTCTAATAATGATAGGTTGAATGGTCCAAACAACAAAGAAATTACTAATCTTTAATAGATAAGGATGCTACTAGAGTATTCCCTCCATACTGGCCAAGTGGTCTAGAAAGAAATTACTAAAATTTGTATAGTAAGAAATAAAATTTTAAAATTTTTGATAAATTAATGTTTTTGTAATTAGGCTGTGTTTTTGTAAAACAAAAAAAAAAAAAAAGGAAGTCCAAGGAGATTTAATTGGTTAAAATTAAATTTGATATTTTTAATTTAAATATCTTATATTTGAATATTTAAAATTTTAAAAATTTAAAAAATAAAAATAAAAATAAAATACATATAACCTAACATCCAAAGTAAAAATGAAAAAAACGAAAAAATGAAAAATAAAAATAGAACGTAATCTACACAGAAAGGAGAACTCTTAGATAACTAGTTGAGATATATAGCATTTTCAATGTCAGATAGTAAATTTCACTGATTAATTGAAAATAATTAATATAAATCTATACTCTTTGAAATAGAGTATGGATTTCAGCAAGATGATGCAATACCTAGAGAGGGGTGCAAGCTCAGATCATAAGTTGTACACCTTGTACCATAACCAATACTACAAAATCATTTAACCAAAAAAAAAAAAAGAGAGAGAAAAAGAGAGAGAAGAAGGTAGACAGGCAGATGGAAGTGACTACTTACAGAGTTTGTAACTAAACATGTGTTGTTGATTGCTTCCTTTCGATCTGGCTCCCAGATTCTCTTAATCTGCAGTAGATCATGTATATCTGCTTTACAATGACTTTATAT